AAAGAAAATTGCATTAAAGCCTGAAAGTCTTTATTCTTAAATGCAAACATTAAGTCAATAATAAAGAAAAAATCCCTTAATTTTGACTTGAGTTCTCCATGTTGGCACACAGACACTCTGCTCTAGCAGACACCCTGAGCCTTTGGGTGGTGGTAGTACCACTGTCACTTCTGAGGCCATAATTTTGTAGGCCACATTTTTGTAGGCCACACTTCTGAGGAAAGCAAAACTGTGAATGCTTTTCAGTTTCAGATACAGAAAAGAAACCAGCGACAATGCTAAAAACATGTCACCTGCAACACTGAAAGTACAATTCAGCCTTATGAGTTCGTTTACTATTTGTCTTCATTGCTCAAGTTGCCAAAAAATGATTCACCTTCCCTAGTTATATAATCACTACTTACTGGGTTGACATGGGTTAATTGAGAACTAGACTATAATCAACTGATTTAGGCCTTGACTTTCCACTAGATATGTCAAATTTCATCTAATTGCATGTGGTGTGGAACTGAATAGGGCGAAACAGGGAAAGAAACATAGGAATAATGTACCTATATGTCTGTCTTCTCTTGAGGGAAGTGTGAAAGAAATTGAATTCTGAAGTCTTCCTTGGGTGGATCTACAGGGTGCAACATAGTGTCATGTTAAAGATTTCTGAGATAGCACAGAGCAATCCAACATGTCTGTCTGGCATTGCACAGGGCTGTGGAGAGATACTAGCCTGGGACCCCAGCAACAGGATAGCTCCATCAGCATGACAGTCAATTTGGGATAATGAAAAGTCAACACAAAGGTCTCGGTGACTGCTGGCATCAGCCTTCCCCTACACATAACTCCTGTCTTTCAGTAGTAAAGACAAAAACCCCTAAATGTGTGTAAAGCCAGACAGACACATCAGCAAAGGGCAGGGGTCATCCTATTGTTTGGTTGTTACGTAAGTGATACTTCATATCATTAAGAACAATTTCAGTCATATGACTTGGAAAATATTTCCTTTTTTTCCAGGTATAGAAAATTTGGTAATTATATTTTATATTTTCCTGCAAATAGCTTTCTCTTATTTGTCTGCAGGGAGGGCCTGTATTTACAGTTAAAGTACATTACTGGTGTGAACACAGGACAGTCCTTACAGAGATCAGAAAAGATCCTGAAGCCACCTGCTTTCTCAAAGCCGGTTCTTGTGATGTAAAACTGTGTGCTGGTTTTGGCTGGGATAGAGTTAATTTTCTACATAGTATCTAGTATGGAGATATGTTTTGGATTTGTGCTGGAAAGAGTCTTGATAATACAGGATATTTTCATTACTGCTAAGCAGTGCTTACACAGAGTCAAGGCCTTTTCTGCTGCTCATCCCACCCCACCAGTGCATGGGCTGGGGGTGCACAGGAAGCTGGGAGGGGACACAGCCGGGACAGCTGACCCCAGCTGGCCAAAGGGATGGATATTCCATACCATACAATGTCATGCTCAGCATATAAGCTGGGGGAAGAAAAAGGAAGGGGTGGACCTTCGGAGTGATAGTGTTTGTCTTCCCAAGTAACTGTTACGTGTGATGGGGCCCTGCTTTCTTGGAGATGGCTGAACACATGCCTGCACATGGGACACAGTGAATGAATTCCTTGGTTTGCTTTGCTTGTATGTGCGGCTTTTGCTTTACCTATTAAATTGTCTTTATCTCAACCCATGAGTTTTCTCTTTTACCCTTCCTACTCTCTTCCCCATCCCACCGTGGGGGAGTGAGCGAGTAGCTGTGTGGTGCTTAGTTGCCAGCTGGGCTTAAACCATGGCAAACTGGGACAACCACATCATAAGTAAGTAAAAAGTGATGTCTTATAATGACTACGAATCATTCTGCAAATCATCCCGTGCCATTGGGTTGTATTGCAGAATAATACATTTGTCATTTCCCGGCTCTGAAGGGAGAGGGCGGTATTTACACCCACACTCGCACACACTTAATCTGTATAGCTCATTCTGCACTGTCATAGTAATATCTTTGGAGTCTGCTACAAGAGAATATAATTATGTTTATATTTTATATAAATATAATTTTAATATATCATCTAGTGTAGTGGTGTCATGTAAATTAAAGCAGACATCTTACTTGGTTGGTATTACAGGCAGGATATAGACACTTGTAATAGGAATATTAGGACTGGTATAAATGAAATATGAATGGAAATGTGCGTATACACACCAGAAGAGTCTTAGAAGAATGGCCTGTGATTTGAATGATGAACATTTGTTCACAGGAATAAAATTGAGGAAAGTGGTGTTTACATCAAGACCAGAAGGTTTTCACTCACATAAAAACACAGCACAGACAGCTAGTGAGTGGAACACCCTCTAAATCTGACAACAGGAGGATGACTGCAAGGTTACAGCACATCACATACGCCTTTCCTTTTCCTACGAGCCCACCAAGGAAACAGACTGTAGTCATAAAGATTCCAAACAAGCAAAACCAGATAATGACCTTGCCTAAAGATTACGGAGGCCTGAAGTAGAAGAGGGTCCAGAGGAGGGCCACAAAAATGATTGGAACAGTTCTCTTATGAGGACAGGCTGACAGAGTTGGGGTTGTTCAGCGTGGAGAAAAGGCTCCGGGGAGACCTTGTTACAGCCTTCCAGTATTTCAAGGGGACTTATGAGAAAGATGGGGACAGACTTTTAGCAGGACCTGTTGTGACAGGACAAGGGGTAATGGTTTTAAACTAAAATAGGGTAGATTTCAACTACATCTAAGGAAGAAATTTTTGACAATGAGGGTGGTGAAGCACTGGCACAGGTTGCCCAGGGAGGTGGTAGATGCCCCATCCCTGGAAACATTCCAGGTCAGGTTGGACGGGGCTCTGAGGAACCTGATCTAGTTGAAGATGTCCCTGCTCATTGTAGGGGGGTTGGACTAGATGATCTTTAAAGGTCCCTTCCAACCCTAGATTCTATGATTCTAAGTAAATAAGGTTCTGAGGCAAAGAAAAGCCCCGTAACAACTGATGATTGCTAAAGGGTGTAAAAGATCTGTCCAAAAACTATTTCAGCAAGAAGAACCTAAAAGACATGATGAAGACTTGCTAGTTGGTGTCCCTTATTCTCTGTGTCACTCACAAATGATCCTGACCAGACCACTTGAACACACATCCTGATGCTTTCTACATGGGTGTGAGTCAATGAAATCTATGAGAGAATGAGTGGGAGTGGATAAAATTGACGTACTTAAAGATCCTGTAAATAAAGATCACCTTCCCCTTGCATAAGGTCTGTAATTGTCATACTCATTTCCTACAGGGAGAAACGGGTAAACTGTATGTTGTCAAAATCAGAAGTTCATTTTTCCTTCATCTGCTCAGTAGCAAAACCACCACTCTGACCTCTCTGCAGCTGGGCATGTGCAGGAGAGCAAACTGTTCCTACTAGATGGTGACACCACAAACCTCTGCATTAATATAGGTCTGGCCAAAGTGTTCTGTATTAGGATATCTAGAAACAAGTAAAGGCAGATGACACTGAACAGAACCCAAGTCTAATTAAAAAAGAGAAGGAATATTAAGACAATATTTGAGTGTACAGGGTTAGGGTTAGGAAAGCCACAGCAGCTCCATCACCAGCAAAAAGGCAACTAAGGAGAATGTGAGCTTGCTGCTGAAGGGGCATGGATGACATGGAAAAGGTTGAGATACTTAATGCTTTCTTTGCCTTGGTCTTGCCTGATAACCCAGGTCCCTGAGACCAGAGGGAAAGTCTGGAGCAAGGAAGACTTACCCTCAGTGGGGGAGGATCAAGTTAGGGAACATTTGAGCAAAGTGGATGTACACAATTATGTTCGTTGGACCTGGTTAATGCCTGGATTCGACAGGAATGAATAACAGTGCTGCAGTCTGTGCTATTTCAATCTTCCAGCTGTGAGAAACAGCAGTAGCCAAGTGCTCTTTTTGTGTGAATTTATGCACTTTGGAAAGAAGACAGGTAAGTAGTCTAATTACAGTAGCTCAGGCTAATTTCTCTCTGTTGGTATTAAAGACAAGCAAATACTTATGACTGAGCATCTCCCACATAAATCTACAAAAACAACTACAAGGTCTAAGACTGCAAGACAGTATTTCCTGAAATAATTGGAAACAGGATAAAACATGGATCCATATAAAAAAAATTTCCATTTTACACATAGATATATACACCTCTACACTGACACATGCATGTACACACCTGCATACAGACATGTTCCAAACTTGTATCTGTCTCATCCTTAAAACAAGCAGTGACTAACACTGACAGAATACTCTTTTTCCAACTAATAATTAAGATTAGTATTCAGGACGATTTTCATCTATGTATCATAAAACCCAATAATTTCAATAAAACAGAGAAAGTATTATTTCACCTAAAATTTGAGTGTTGACTGTTCTGCTCACACAGAATTCTGGAATATTTCTTTTTTCAACAAGATTACTATTTGTTTTCCTGGAGATGTTATTTCTTCAAATAACAATATTGAATAATGATTTAAAGATGGTTAATTTAATTCTAATGGAATTATTTACAAAGTTGAGATGATCTTTTTTGAGGTTTTTCACTCTGCTTTTGAATTTCATAAACTTCTATAATTACAACTCTATTCCTTTTCTCTGTTTTACACCAAATTACTTAGATTGAATCCATTATTGTTTGGCTTAGATGATCTAGTTCCTGAATAAAAATAAAATAATTGTGAGATGTTCAGTTTTTAATAATGGAATTTCAGTGTTTATTAAGGTTATTAGTAAACTATTATGAACACTGCACTTCAAAAATTATGTTACCACTCATTTATTTTTTTACTGTAGAATCATACATTACATTACTTATGTTATTCCTCAAGAAAACAACATTGCATTTGCATCAAACTGATTATCACTGTGTTATGTTGCTTAGATACTGTAAATTTCAAGTTTAATGCATTTTATGTAGGCATTTTACTTGCAAATAGCAAGCATTGCTTCACAGAATACATACTCGGAAAACATTTGTTATAATCTGCAATTTACAACCTATTATGGAGAAGGAACAATGGAGTTTCTTGAGACAAGGTTTTATATGTTCAGCAATATTAAAGCTTTATCAAAATACTCAACACATACCTGTTCCCAGGCAAAGACATGTTGATTGAAGTAGAACTGAATTTGTTCATTGGCAATGTTGATACAGAGTTGTTCAAAAGAATTTTTTTTGAAATTCTCAAAGCCAAAGATATCAAGAATTCCGATGTTCAAACCATCATCGTTTCCACTGCAAAGATTAAATAAACTTTCTATTGTTGTATCTTTATTTTACACTGACTAGCTTCATTATTATTTCACAAAAGGAAATAATGGGCTAAATCTGTATGCAAGTTAAACAGGATAATTTTTGCTAAAACATATACCTCTTAAAATAACAATCAGTTTTTGTTTCAAATACAATAAATGCACATCAATTCAAAGATGACTGTATTTGCAGACCAGATACACTGAATCACATAATGATCAAGTCAACTGATAAGCATATAAAGGATTTACAATTTTATTTTTAAACTAATATTTGCTAATTATTCTACTGTAAAAAGCTGACTCCAGTACAGAAACAACATACAGTTCTTTTTGTTTCTCTTGTAATAAAACAGGCTTTACTCACCACCATCTCGAAATTAAAGACTGCTGTCATTAAACATTATTTCCTCATATTATTTATTCACAACAATTACATATACCTCTTAAAATAACAATCAGTTTTTGTTTCAAATACAATAAATGCACATCAATTCAAAGATGACTGTATTTGCAGACCAGATACACTGAATCACATAATGATCAAGTCAACTGATAAGCATATAAAGGATTTACAATTTTATTTTTAAACTAATATTTGCTAATTATTCTACTGTAAAAAGCTGTAAAAACAACAATTAAAACTGCTTATTTTAACATGAAAGTCAAAAGAATGAATAGTTAGACCTTTTATGCATCTAAATAACTACTTTAAGCACTGGAGTGTAATATGAATATAAATTACCAATTAAGTTCCAGAGAAGTACTACTACTAAAAACTTCAGTTTGAAATTTTAGCTAAGGCATTCTGAGACATAAGTGGTCATTTCTGCAACTGGAAAAAAAGGTCTAATATTTGTATTTATTTGCTGAAACAAAAAATTAAGAAAGTGCAATTTTATATCAAACTGAAGTTGTCATTAGTGTCTTTTCCTAGCTAAATCAAAAAAAAAAATCAATTCTATCTATAAAAACCCTTGGAGGGGCTATATGTAACCTATTTTATTTTATTTTATTTTTTTAGGAAATCGGATACGAAGAACTAGCCTCAAGATACTCATGAATAGCACTTGAACCTCTTTGTGAAGCCCATCTCAAAAATGGAACTGTTTTATTGTGGAGGGATCAAAATTATTGACTTTGACCTGAATTTTCTGACTATCTTATCTGTCTGGAAATTACATTTTTGGTGAATAGACTGCTGAAATTTGTCTGCTCTGTTCCTTCTCAGAGCTAATTACATAAAAATAGCAAACACAAATTATTTTACTATCACAAAACCAAAGCAGACTTCTGTTTGTTTTGTGGTTTTTTTTTTTTTTTTTTTTTGAGTTTTTAAAGTGAACATTTCAGGTTGAACTTTCTCCCTCCTCACCAGCTTAATAAGAATTCAATTTGAAAAGTGCTCAGTAACAGGCACATGAGAGAGGCACACAGGCTACCAGTGCTGCCCCATCTATTGTGAATTTTATCCTACCACTTACTGGTTAAAGTTCTATTTATTGCTGCTCTGCTGTTACCGAATATTTGAAAGGTTAGAAAAATTTTAGGATTGCAGCCTTGGCTTTCTGCTGATGTTTCAAAAAAAAAAAAAATTCCAGAAAATCCAGATTTGCAAACCAAAGCTATTTATTATTGATATTCCTCTTCAGGTAGTTACAAGTTCACCACTATCCACTGCTATTGTCAGCCAATGAGGGCCCTAATCTATAGGATCTATAATGCAAGCCAAATAATTTCTTCTTTGATTAATTTGCAAAATGTTTTATATCCTCATTCCACATATCTTTCTTGTCTCTGTGTTTAAAATGTCATCTTGTAAAGGTAGGGTGGACATTAACCTCAGCAAATGTGTTTGGAAACTACTCTTACACATATATGAAACCACGCTCATAACAACAGCAACAGAAGCAACAGCATCAGTGCAAATAAGAGCAGAATTTGACCTATGTAATCAAGAGAAGAATGTCAAAAGTTGACCCTGAAAAAGTATAACGGAAAAAGTAGTTAGTATGTAATTTACAAAGGGTTAAACGAGTAAAGGTCAAACAAGAAAACACCAGGCGCCTGTGCTATCCCTATCTACGGTATTTTCACTGCATACTATGAATAGGACAAAACCTTTTTTTTTAATATGGTGGTGTCATAAACAAAAAGGTAGCAGAGAAAAAGTAGATGAGAACATTAAATGCTCTAGTGTAAACAGTATTATTCCCACAGAAAATCTCTCTTTATTCTGGAAAATCTTCTTTTACCTTAAATGTTTGTCAGGTTTGAGTAAAGTGTTGATGCGATTGACTATCCAGCTAAAGAGGCGCCCATACAGTGCTTTGGCCATGGCATCTCTGACATCAGTGGCTTTTTCCACAGTGTTGGGACGAATAATTGTTTCTCCTCGAGTCACTACACAGTGAGAAGTGAGGGCCTCTTGCAGTTCATCTGCCTGAATACACAGCAAGGATGCACCTAGGAAGCAAGGTCACAGTCAGAGCTCAGAGGCAGATTTTGGAAAGAAAAATACACATTTTTGCAAACAAAGCTGCAAGTGCAACTTATTATGAATAAGGGCCAAATCAGAGTCTCGAACTATGACTAATGAGGGTGTTCACGCCAAATAACTGTCAGTATCTAATTTAGTCACCAACCTTGCTAGCTTCCACTGCAGTCAATGAGTACGTGATTCAAAGCAGAGGCCTTTAGGTTCTAAACTGTTTTATCAAGGAGGCTACTTCTCCAAATTGTCTACTGAGAAATGGTAGGGATCTAGGTGACTATGTCAGAAGTACGTAAGTTGTGAGGTGTGAATATCCCTCTCAGTTATAATCCATCCATATAAGCCACTGCTGTACTCGTTTTGCTCCAAAAAAGGGGTGCTTCTTCCCCGGTTCCACAGTATTTTTCTATCTATGGCAGGAAAACGTGTAAGAAGATAGTGCGAAGGCTTCATTATCTCCCCACCTGTAATTACTGAGAAAGAGTAGCAACTTTCTTGAGAATCTTTGCCCCTTTCCTTCTTCTGCCTCCTGGCAGCCTGTAGTGTAAGGTAACCCTTCCAAAGGATCAGTGAGCCATATTTCAACAGGCACATGTGGGGAACAAGTAATGAGTTTCTGAGAAAGAAACTGGGAAAAAACTATTCAACGTGTTAATGAGGTTCTCCATCAAATGTTCAAATAACCTTGGAAAAATTCCAAAGATTTTCTTTTCAGGCATCTGCAGTATTAGTCATGTTTCCTGAATGCCAGTGAACTGTTTAGTCAAATAAGGTGCATAACATGGAAATTTTTTCTTTTCGCGTTTGAATTTATGTGGGCTTGGAATTAATCTATCTTCAGCATTTAATTATTCTTGCAAAATTTCCATATGAATACAGTTTTCATTGATAACTCTCTTGCAATAAAAGAAATTCGCTATCAAAACACTAAAGGAAAACAATCTTAAATCAAGAAGAAACACTCACAATTCTCCAGGGCTACTGGATTGGAAATGTTGCTCTTGTCAATCATGTGTTCAGATACCACTGCAGAAAATTCAATGTTGCCCACATTTAAAATGGCAGCCAGGACACTGTACACACTTCCAAGTTCCTGAAAAGTATATTAAAAAGGATGCAATAGCCAGATAGATATGTCACTTTGGTTTGTGCGATGCGCACGTGTGTTGTGTCCCGTTGTGCGCCACACACTATTAGGAATACTGTTCTCAGCAGTTATTCCCTGCTCTGTACCCAGCATAGTCTTTCAAGCATAAGACACCTGAAGAGGGCAAGACAAACTATAGCCTCATCTCCCTTCCATACTTGTGGTCAGGACAGAACTGACATGGAGTAGGGGAAGCACAAAACAGTGATGAGCATAATCCTCTTACACAGAAAGAATTTGAAGGCTATTTATATCTACCCTTCACTGTGTCTGTAGGCACAAGCATGTCTAAAAATGTAATACCTAGATCAACAAGAATATAAAAAATCTGCATCTATGTTTCTTGGATCATGGAAACAAAGGTACTCCAAATAATAGGTCTGCAATGGCTGCCACCAATGTCATTGGAAAAAGTTTCACTGGGAGAAGAGTGAGACCTCAAATCTCTGATTTGGCAAAGCACTTTACCCTTCAAAATGTCATTTAGGAACTGTGTAGTCACCAAAGCACTTCAGTATGGACTTTACTTAAACATATTTAAATTTCAAATGATTTTGTAGGTTCTGACGAGGGATTCTGCCTTGAAAGAGGCTAATATTAGTCTGGACAGTGAAGTGATCTATACAGTAAATGATTAAAATACAATCATATTTGCAATTAACGAAATAATGCTTTCATTTAAGGTTTGACTTAGATTTGAACCGTGAATTTTCATCTGAACTGTGAACATTTATCAGCATACTTGATGATCTCTGAGTATTTTCTACTCAGAAATGCTGAGGTATTCCTGTAAAGCAGACTAGGTTTTAAGCTATGAATCCATGATATTCTATTTTGAGGCACGCAGTAATAGTGTTTTTTATAAATAGCAGGTTTATAAGTTTTATAGATGAAGCAGTTTTATAAATTTGATTCATATTTTATAATGATGGGCTTTTTATAATTGCATGGCATTTTATCCCTCATATTCAATAGTCTTCTGGTACCACATCAGACACCATTTACTCAGATAAAATCCTTAATTGCTCTAGAATATTTGACCTTGTCCTCAACATTTTTGGAAGTAAATCTAGTAGTTAATAAATTAATTATTCCAGTGACAGCAAGACAAACTAGATAAGCTCACTCTAAAAAATTATGCTCAGAATAATAGGCACATAGTTTACCTAGGTTTACCAGTCACTTTCATTTTAAGCTTAGGGACGCAGATGAAATGCAAAGAAATGGATAGCTTAACTTCTGCCATTATACCATAGAGTATGTATGGCTGCTGACATTTTTGTACCCTTTTTCAGTGTGTTTGAAATCTGGCTTGATCTGTCTCATACAGCATGATTATTGTTCACCTCAGGCAATCCTTTCCTATTAATTTTGCCATGCAGCCTGAAATAAAACTGTGATTTTAAGACAGGGAGTACTGACAGTAGTTACTATTAAAGCCTGCCAGTCAGTTAAAAACAGATTTCAAAGAAATAAAGCCTTGTTTAGGTCTCAGTTTTAATTGGAGTGGAAAAGATATTCTGTCCAAGGTTTTCTGCTAATAAAACATGGAACATGCTTATATAGAACCTCCTCTGTGCACTGGCATGAATGTCAAAGCTTAAGGCTGCATTACTAAAAAGTGAACTTAGAAAAGGAACTCATTGTCTTACAGTATCTTTTTCTCACTGAAAATAAATTGTCTCTGCACATGCATCCTATATCAGAACCTCAGTGGGGGAAGAAGACTTCTCTGTTCCTTCACTCTTGCAAACACAGCCTCAGAGAGGCTAATTCATCCTGTGGAGAATGGAAGACAGGCTAACATGGATGGGGCTAACGTAACCACAGTTAGATTGCCTATGGTACTCAACCTGCTTCTGAAACTGTGGGGCTTCTGCAGGTAGGTAGTTCTTTACAGATTCAGCCCACGGTGGCTTGCTGAGTTAATCAAGTGAAGATCCATGCTAGAACTGCACAATGTGGCCAGTGACCTAGTTCTAACTGGATCTTCAGTATGTAAGGAAGGTCTCTTTTGGATGATCAGGATTATTGTTTCCATCCAAGTGAACAAAAACAGACTTGCTGCTTTTCATGGTGTAAATTAGGACTTAGCAAGGTCTCTGGTGCTGTGACAAAACTACTATCAGTGCTGAACTGTGCATATCCTTCCACGCTGCTTCTCCAAAGGTGAAAGTACAGGTATGAAAGGATGTGATAGTACAGGTGTGATAATACTAAGTGCAGTTGTGAATTAGCATGTAGAGGAGAAAGAGACTGTGAACTCCACTGCTACTACAACTTAATGCAAAATGAGCATGGAGGAACAGAATATGTGAGTAAACCTGTTCTGCTAGCTATTCAAATATTTACATTGAGGGAAGCCAGGAATATTCAACTGAAGTGACTGTGAAAAGCTCCTTACAACATGCAGTTTTGTCAAAGAAATTCAAATATATATCCATTCTGCAGCACTAGTGCTGTATTTCACAGATACTGTAAGGATCATCATTTGTAATACATAGAGTCAGTGGTAAACTGCAGCTGTGATGCACCACTTCTAAGAAGAGAGAACTAGGGTGCAGGATGGAGTTTCCTTCCCTTGCATCCTACTTCATAAATCCAGAGGCCTGTTTTTATTTTAATTATACCAAAGACAGCCTGAGAAGAGGGGTTTAATGGCCAGCAGAATAATGGTATGAGATCACAAAGAAAGAATGGGCTCAGTTAATGTTTAGTGATGAGATTCACTCCAAAGGGATGTAAAAACTTCATTCAATTTTACCCCTGGAGTTGTGAAAATGTATTGAGTTCATCAAAACTCAGATCAACTCAATGAATTTTTAAAACTCTCACGATGGACTTAATCCTAAAAGAGATGAGGCTCATATTCACAGGCCTAAAATTATAGGCTAATAAATAGTTACAACATCATTTTCCATGCATTTAATTTGCAAGAACCTCCTTTTCCCAAATACTCAGCTGTGCTGTGTTTACTGATTTCAAAGTTTTGTTGACTTTTGTTAGTTTATCAATGCCTTGAAACCTTAAAAATATAAATGTGATAATATAACAGTAAGTTGACCATGCAATATCCTGAAACATAAACACACTACTGTGAAAGGAAGACAATAACAAGGGAGATTATTTGAATGTTTTATATAAGTTTTTCCTGATTAAGGTAGCCATTAAAGTTCACCAAAAAAAAGGGTTATCAGCACTCACCTCCAGTGTAAAACCTATGACTTTGAAGCACTGTTCAATTAATTCAAACTGAGACTTATAAAAGCTATTGTTCATGAAATCTTGCACTATTCTGAAATGATCATTTTGCAGATATCTGAAAGAGTTAATGGATATAGAGTTAGAATGTAAACGAGGCTGAGAATTCAACACTGCATTTCTTAGTATCAATTTATGTAAAAATAAACTGCATTACCTGGGAGGTCTATATTCTGGCAGTTTATAATGTGCCAGTTTTTTCTTTTCTGCCAGACCAGCATAAATATAATAAAAAATATGGAAATTTTTCTCTCCTCTGAAACAACAGAAACAACAATCTGGTTTAGTAATGTAACTATGTTACATTTACTGATGACATACATACTATTATTAAATGTTATTAAAAGAACAGGCAAGGTTCATGCAAACTGACAGCGGACCTTGAAAAAAGCTTTACTACACAAGTTCCTGTGAAGTGAACACCCTTTCTCTGTTGGTTGTATGTTTGTTCTGAAGCTGCCAGGGTGGCTGCTTGGTGCTACAAGCAGCTAAATGCTGCTCTGCCTTTGTTGCAATTGGTAGATGCTGGGTGAGATCTTGCACATTGCTCACCCACCCACATTAAATGGACTGTTTAACCTCCAGTTATTTTTTAAAAATCTTCTGACCATGGGAGAGAAGTCCCGATTCACCGAATCCAGTATGTTTGCTGTGTCCTTTAGCCCTGAACCAAGAAAGCACATAAGCAGACATCCAGCAAAGGGCCTTATGACTTGGCATGCTTTGCTTAAAAGTTAGGTGCCCAAACCCAGGACAGAATGTTTATATGCACATCCAAGCTTCCTGTGCACCTTATCAGGAAGAACTGGATGCTTTGGTGGAAATCTGCAACCACCACTGAACCTTGAGATGGCCAAGTCAGTCACTATGAAACGGCTAAAAGGAATTGTGTTCAAACCCCTGGTTTCTGCATGAGCTGAGGCGCGTGTCTCAGGAGCACCACTACATTCTTCTGTGAAATGGGATCAGAGCCCAGTGCACGGGACTGCCTAGATCAGAGGCCAGTGCCAACTTAGTTTGTGTATTTAACTGTGGACAGTCAGTAGTAGAAAACAAGATCGATTTAAGGAGCAGGAGCAGATGCCTTATCTTTCACCTCAGTATCTTAACCACTAGGTTGCATAGCCATACTTTGCACAGTCTCTGAAACCTCACTGTATCCTGATGGTTTGTGTATTCTCTTGGAAAGGTAGGGGAACCTGGAGGTTCAAAATCTCTTGGCTTGAAGTGGGTCTGGAACTTAGGTCTCCCATTTTCTGGGTAATCAGTCACTGGTTTTCTGCAAAAAGCCATTCCTAGCTCTCCATGTGAGTTTGGGAGTCATGTTCTCCCAGAAAAGCAGAAGAGACTGCCCTTGCCATGCAGGTACCTGAACACCAGTTCTCTGCACTGGCACAGCTGTATGGACCAGCCACACAGACAGCTCAGTGAAGAGGAGAACACACTCGACACAAACAGCTTCAGACAGCCTTGCAAGTTCATGCCTCAAAATTTAACCTCCTACAGTGGCTCTCATGCTAAACAGTTTGGTGGCATTTTCTTATGAATTCAGACATCTGAACACCTCTCTAAATAGCATTTGAGGCACGTAAATGCTTTGCTGACTTCCTGTCTCAGCATGTGGCTAAATATAAATACAAACTGACCGCCACAGAAAAAAAAAACATGAAAAGTTACGAAAAAGTGGTATTTTAAGGAAAAAGTGGATTTAATTCTGAAAAAGCAGTTTCTGTGCTTATGTTCAACTGGGGAAAAAACATAATTTCATAAAATTGCCTCTAACTTTAAATTGTTTACTGAAACATTCCAAGTGATACTTAGATGTTCTTCATGCCACAAAGCTACAACAGGCAACAAGGTCATGCAGAACTACAAAAAAGAGTAAAAGTGAGTAAGAGGTCAGCAAGGCGAAACGTTTAAGTCAGTGACAACATTCCTTGTCTCAAACTGTTTATCTTATTGTTATTATGGCAGAAACAGAGTTAACAAAATATTTTTTGTCTGGATGTGCTATATATTAGCATAGAAAATACATGTAAATAATTTAAATTAATTTGAAATGCCATTTAATTTTTCTGTCATTTTATATTGTGAGATACACACATGACAGAGATGGATCTGTTCTTCAGTTGGTCCATAACCCTTTATAACCAAATCCTACTAGATGCTCCAAACCTGAAAATGAGCACTTTGCAAACAAAGAAACAAAAAACCTGCAATAGTACAGGAAACACAGAGGAATTAAATCCAAGTGATATACTTAATACAACACTTCAAACTTTCACAAACAAATTTATAACTGAGCTATTAGAAAGTTTTTAATTCTTTACGCATTCTGATACACTTTATATATCACATACGCATTTTTATGAGATTTGTTTAAATAACCCAGGTGGCAATAAAAAAAAAATCAGGAGTAGCTTTCAGCTAGCTTACAGATTTATAAGCAATTAATGTATCATTTATAAGAAAAAAATCTCAGTACCTTATTTATGTTTGTGTTTTGATCCAAAATAATTTCCTGCATTGTAGGCCTACTCTGTAACCTCCAAATCAGGTCAAATTTTTTTTTTTTATACTTACACTGCCTGGTGGACGACTCTGGATTTTTCAAGGAGATACTCTGAAATCTGAGCTCCTACTACAGTGCCACCACAAGTGAATTTCATTTCCAAGTATTTTCCAAATCTGCTTGAGTTATCGTTGATGATAGTGCCTGCATTCCCAAATGCTTCTACGAGGTTATTCACCTGGAGAATCTTCTCCTGTAAAGTCCTGTTATTAGCCTGGATATGAAAAAGAGATTGCTTAAAATTATCAGTAATCATTCAAATACATTAATTCTTAAGTGTTCCTTTCCTCTTCTAGTTGATAAAAGTGTGGCATCATCAGGGCTGCCATTCCCATGTGAATTATATGGAAGGATAGGCATGCATGTGCCATGAAACCTGTCAGAATATAGCAACCTGCAGAACTAATGGCTAGCTGGAAGAGATAACACATATAATGATAACGACAACAGCAGAACCAATCAATTTCTGTGGTCCAGCACTCTGCGATGGCTGGCCTGATTTTAGGATCCTTGTTAGCATCTGCTTACTGCTGCACTGCACCATACCAATAGATCAGTTTGCTTGCACCTCACCTGGGACATAGAAAAATGGCATTTTATTTAGACAACTATGGTGGTCACTTCCCAGAATGACCATGTCCCACTGACAGCAATCTGGTTGTAGAAGGAGGTGAAAAGCTAGAAGAGGATTTTATTTAGTACAGCTTGGGTAATTTGAAGACACTCAATTAAACAAGGGACAGACTAAGTCACAGCCCTCACTGCAGTGGGAACTTCCTTGTGGAATTCCCAAAATATTTTCAAGTGATCCTAGTTCAGGAGCGAGGAAGAGGTAGATAGATCAGCATCATGTCCCAATCTGACGTTACAGAAGTCCTTTGGAAAATGTAGTACAGTCTTGCCCCCCTACCAGTGCTCTGTCTGTAGGTACAATCAGGCCTAAGATAGTGAAGCCTTACAGAGGCATCTGCTTTGAAACATACCTTGCCCAGGACAGTGAGCTGCTGAACGAGAAGATGGGCAGATTGCGTCTTGCCAGCTCCACTTTCTCCAGAAATAACAATACACTGCAGAGAACAAGAGCATGACTCTCAGCTCATTACATATGTCTCAGTCTAGCAAAGTATATAATTGAGACACCTCATCTTTACCTGATCGGAGTTGTATGTCACCATGGACTGATAACCTATGTCAGCAACAGCAAAAATATGAGGAGGGTTGGCAGTCCGTTTGGCTCCAATATACAGTTTGGAATGCTAAGTGTAAGAAAAATGGAAACATTATTAGTGTCCCTTAACAACTTTTTTTGTACTATCTTATGAGAGTTTAGTTTTATTTTCAGATTAGTGTACAGCATGCTGAGGTTACCAGCAGTGATGTTTTCTGAGTGAGCTGTTACTGTAATCATGAATCTGTACGTGCTTAGTACTAAAAGAACTGTTAAAAAAGATGAACCACAATTTTGTGTGATGTCAGCCCTGATTATGCTATGAAACGCAAACTATCAGGAGAAAATTTAATGTTGCCAGACATAAAGGACCAACTTATAATTTGATGTTCTTTGTACTTCACATCCTCTTAGTATTTATGCATGATATTGGTATCAAAACTTAAGACCTCTTCTGTAGCTGCAGTAACTGATAATTAATAAAGTCAAATTACTGTATGACCAGACTTTCATATCTGTCTCCTTTTGTATAATGGGGAGGCAAATTCACAAAAGTTAAATTTTACTGGGTTACTTTGTGAACTGCCTTATCAATTAAATAACTAAGACTTTCCAGCTTTCTTGGGAGGAATTGCCCCCAGCTCCTACCTCCAGCTATCTGCCTCAGTACAGAATTTTTCCATGGAAAGTGGAGGGGAAAGAATGCTCCCTCCCACAAAGAGGAGCAAGATTCACCTGCATAAATGCACTTATCTGTACAGATACTACTTCTGAACTAGTTGCTATGGGCAGCTAGTGCCTTTACACTCAGTGGGGTTCTAGTCAACAAATCTCATGAAGTTTAGCACAATTTATTTCATCCTGGAATGAATGTTGAAAGTCACTAGCACATAAAATATGAATATTCATATTAAAAGTAAGATCATTCTTGAGATTTACTTCAGTCACTCTGAAAAACAGAATTACCAATAAAATTGTCCCTTGAGGTACATATTGACAGACATCCTTATCATGTGCTGAATTTCAGCACAGAAATGAGGAACTCAAAAAAATTTTATCTCCAATATCTTTACATCTACAGTGTAGATCATGTCTATCATGATCAGTGCTAGTGGAAAAGAACCAAACATAGATTTTCACACCTGTGAAGAATAAATGTCTATGTTCCGAAATGGATTGACAGCGATGAGAATGTCTCCAACATATGTGTAGATCTGATCCTTGGCATAACCCTTCTGCAACTGCTCTGTTACTGTATTCTAATGAAGAAAGAATAGGAACATTGAATAACAGGGGGAAAAAAGAATATTAGGAAAATGTGTAAAATATTTATATAGTTACAATGAGTGAACAGGTGAGAGAGGGAAGGTATTAATGGTCAGGAGTACAACCAATTTTGATCAGAAAGCGACTAATGCTTTCAAGCACACTAGCATTCATAATTTCTTGTGTCCAAACTCACTTTGAACAATATATACTTACAGATCCCCAAGTGGCTGTAGAAAAATGAATTAATAAGTACTGCTTAAATTCACTTAATCAAAGGTTTCCATGAGACAATCCTGTCCTAATTTCTAACACTACAGCTTCCTGTTACTCATCAAGCAAGAGCCATATGCTTGAATTCATAACTGCCATTACAGCTGCTCTAACATTACTCTCAGGTATGACAAGACAGACGTTCAGCTCTTTGGATCCTATTAATGTAAACAATCAGGCACCTTTCTCTATTAGCAACCAATCTCTGCTGTGATTGTTCTTTGCTGCTGCAGAGCCAGTCCTTCCTGAACCAAGAAAAAAGAAGGACCCATTAGTGGCATACCCAATTTCTTGACATAATTGCCCTCAACTTCTTCTACATACAGAGCTGGGTATGTAAAGTTCCTGGTTAGGTTTCCAATCAAAACAGAACGCAGAGCTAGCTGGAGAAATTCAAAGCAGCTTGAGACTATTCCAAGGCACATATGAAAACATTTAGGCCCCTTTTCCACTGAAACAGAAAAACCAGCAGTGGAGGAATACAGAAAGAATTGCTTTCCCTCTATATCCAACTGTTTACAGTGGTGTGCACTGTGTTAATGCACTTGAAACCCGAATTCTCAAGAGTTGAAGAGGTTACATTTCCTTCACAGGAAAACATAAGGAGAAACCTTTGGTTTTCCATTACCTTGATAAACTCTTCCTTTTTTGTTTTTGAATGGTACCTTGCTTTTGGCCATAACCAGATTTACATTAACATAATTTTTTACGGGAAGTTCTGCCCTTTTTAAAATTATTGCACAGGCAGAAGTTCTCCTGTTTTGCCCTTCTGATAGGTCTATCTAAACTGGAAGAGAACTTTGAATGGAAGAAAGGAGACAGTTTTGAGAAGCTGTCATTCATATGTGAAAGAAGTTTTTAACTGAATTGGCTATAATGAAATATCGCATAGTCAAATTACGTCTTTAGGTGAAAGCTTCCTGAGGACCTTCCTTGAGAACGCTCCACTTCTGAGGAGATGGGACATACTTATGGCTCATCTGGGGTTTTTTTTGTCTTCTCTTTAGCTCATATTGTTTATATGCTTCATGGAAAAAGATAAAAACCAGTCTCAATAACATACAGCTATTCCCAATATAAAAAATCCTTAAATCTGAGCTTTGTGCAGTAGATGAAGTCTGTATTAGCTCAATTAGTATTAACTAAACATTAAGCTGCTCTAACCAAGGTCTTGGATGATGGAAGATGTTCTGTGGGCTGTTAGCATTATGTAGTTTACCAGCTCAAGAGCCACACTGAGTATTCTGGACTGATGAAGACACAATATTACCAGAGAAGTTTTACAGATTAGAGAATGTGAATTATAATCTATGCACAGCCTGGTAGAGGAAGACTGACAGTTTGTTTACAACCACTGATGGCCTCTAAGACCTGCAGGTAATGTGCTGTGGCCCAATTCTTCTTTCTGGTTTTGAAGCTTAAAGGTATAAACAAAACAGACTTCCCTTCTCCCTTATGCATGTTCCCCTGCTCCTAGTGGATTAATTTTCAAATTTTGACAAACTAGTCAGAATCAATAATTCCATCAAAAGTTCACCAGAAGGCATTGTTAGGTCAGAGCCTCAGCTGACATAAATCTCAACGCATCTCCATACCAAAGTAAGTCAGTGAGAGCCCAGCCTAGGAAAGTATGGAAAGCTAATTTAGTCTAGATGTAACTCTAGATGTCCAAGCAACAGGGAAGAAGGTTATTGTCTGTGTACCTGGACCAATTTCAGGTTAACACATCACTGCAAACTAGATATTTAGCTGTAATAAAATAGAGCAATATAAATCCTGTTAAGCAAATGTTGCCACAATACTGCTCATTCTGAAGCTTTGACTGCAGAGGGTGTTTTAGCATTGAGTTGGAACCATTCCTGACACAGCAATCTCATGTAAAATATCCTGCAAAAACTGGTAAAAGACCGTTGTACACTTACACAATTGAAGTGTGAATATAGCTGAACTTGAAAATCAACAGCACACCACTGTGTTTTAATACCTGATTACTCCTCTTTGCGAAAACAAGAAAAAGGAGATTCTTACCTCATCCAGTACCTCCAAGGTTGCTAAATCGTCTACCTCTTCCTGGTTGGAAACTAGTGACTTACTGTAGTTCCCTTTCTTTGTATGAATACGTTCAAATCTAGAAAAGAAAGACATGCTATTTCCTGAGGCAAGGAAACACATGGCAGATCTTTCATCTGTAACCACCTTGAAGGCAATTCAGCCAAAACATTCCAGCTTTCCATTGTTCTGAATTCAAACACATGAATAACAGGACATGATATAATTTTTAGTACAGAACACCTGTACTTGACAACTCAAAACCTATGGTCTGATCTCACAAGTGATAGTATGAATAACTTTTTAATTGTACAGATCCTTGCTTGATCACACCGCTACATCAGTTGCAGGACTGGAGCTATGCAGTAAAAGAAAAAGAGAACATTTTTATAAAGTATTTAATATTCAAGTTCTGGCACTTACCAGCAAAAAGAAAAATGACCCAGGTAAACATAAAGAATAGGACAAAACCAGGGGTGTATGATGAGATAGTACAGCAAGGATGATACAGACAAAGCATTCAGGATGGAAACATTTCTAGTTTAGTAATGACAATGCTTTAAAGTCTGGCTGAGATGGTCACACTGTAGAGTGAAGTGTTACAGAACCATTATGGTATGTGAAATACACTCTGACCAAGAATAATTTTCTTGGACTTTACAGGAAAAAAAATTGTACAAAATAAGGAAACAAATTTTCAAATCTTTTTCTTATCAGATTTAAACTTCAATTAAGTTTGCCTTAAAGTGAGATTTCTTTTTTAATCAAACCAAAGAAAACTTTACGCAGTCTTACAGAATTTAGCAAGAAATTCCCAGGGACTTGGATCATTCTCTATCCAAGAGTAAAGACATTGCTAAACAAAGCAAAACCATCAGAAAATGCAAGGTTTACAATTCACATTAGTTATACTAGCTTTATGAGATGGGGGAAAGTCAGAGAAAGGGAAACTGGATAAGTAACAGCAGAGTTCACAAGCTAAATCAAGCGCAGATGTGCAATATGGCAAAAGCACAGAAAGGCTACCAAGTAAATCAGATCTCCTGGTATGACCTCACTCCTCTTGATACTATAGGTAGGAAGGCATCTCTCAAACATATGGAACGTATACTTTGGTAAACTGAGACAGCAGGGAAACTGTGTTGTGTGAAACACAAGCACTCTTTACCTTGATTCCAGACAAGACATCCTTTATTTAATTCTGACATTTGGATGTATGGCATGAGTAAAAGCAGACACGTATTTTCTACCCAGGCAAGAGCTTGAATATACAGTGAACAGAGGAGAGGAGAAAGAGGGCACTTGCACCAAGACTGAAAGTCAAAATGAATGAACATCATACTGATGGGGCAAGCTAAGAGTTTTCTGAACTCCCACAGTAAGACTTACTGCAGAGTTTAATGGGCTGTACCTACTCCACAAACACCACCTATTTCAGAGGTGCTAGTTCAGGTCATGCAGGCTGTGGGGTGCAAGTGCAGAAAGTCAAGCAGGCACCCACTTGGCATCAGTTACTGATTACCAGGCCTGAAAAGGGGCTGGAAGAAATGGGCAAATTGTGAGTGCAATCAAGATCTGAATGATGCAAGTGCAGGCATGAGTGCACTTCATCTCACACTTCTTTCCATCTCTCTTGTCTATAATGATCCCTGAGGGTGACAGAATGGCTTATCCTCACCCAGGTACCAGTAATGGAGCAGCTTCTTCCTCTCTTAGGCAGGTGCCAGCTACCACTGGAGTCTTTCCATTGTCTATAGTGCAAAGGCAGGAGCTTCACAGCCACCACATCTGACTAATTCTGCAACCTTAATATCAAGACACAAACATGTAAGACTTCATTGTAAAAGCCAGAATAGTTTCATAGTCTCCATGCCAATATTGCACCCCAATACCCAGTGTGGAGGCTAAGTGACCAGGAAGCACAATGAACAGTGTGGTTGAACAGGATCTACGTTGCCCTGATGGAAGAATAAGACCAAGTCTTGCCAGTTTTACACCCAGATATTTTGCAAATTGCTCTCAAACTGTCATTAGGACTCTGGAGCTGCATGGGAAAGCAACCTGCTTCCGAATCTTTACTTTTCTTTTTTAGTAGTAGTAGTAGTAGTAGCCAGCAGTATTTACTAGAGGCCAAAAAAGACTGCTTGTAGGTACAGCTGTAAGGGTGATAGTGAGGATTAATTACACAGAAGTGAAAAGCAACATGAATACTACACAGTGCAGTGCCAGAGCCTTATTACTGCCACACAACACAGAACATGCAACGCGTGGGCCTAATTCCACATGAGCAGTGCAAATAGACAGAGATGTGGGAGGAGAGTATGTCTGTGTGGGGGAACAAAGGCAGCTTTTGCTGCAATAAATCCATAACTGGACTGTAATTTGGCATGTATTTAAATACAAGCAGAAAACACACAGGAACACAAGCAGACAGCATCAAAATGGATGGGTCTGGTGTAAAGCAATCCCACCTCTCCTAGGTCCGATCTCTTTTCTTTCTTTTGGAACCCATTTGTACCATGAAAGCTGTCCTAGTAGTGCTGTCCTTGCAATAACACTGTGAGACAATTTTTGGTTGTATGTACCCCCAGGTTTTATTAAAAAGGATGTGGTAATATTAAGATTTAAATTAACTCAGCCTTGCATGGTCTGCTGCTACTTGATTTGCATTTACCAACTGAAGGATACTACTGCATTGAAAGCCAGAAGTGCAGGCAAAACCCTACCCCCTCAATAGAAATCTGTCCCCTCTATAACCCAGTTGCAACAATTTCTCCTTTGTTCCTGCATGAAGGTCATTTTGTGTCCAGAGGATGCATCTAACACTAGCATGACTTTCAGAAAGACCTATCAACATGTACAGGTGGGAAAGATGTGGGAACTACAGGGCTACGTCAAGCTCTGCTGTTCTACTTTTTCCATTGACGAAGGAAGACCCAAAACAAGACATCTGTCAAGTTATGCTTTCCATTTATGGTGGAATTGCTACACACTGAATACACTTAAAAAAAAAAAACGTTAACTGCATATCAGTGAGAGAGTGATATTCCTCAAATTTGTTTCAATTACCATTTTTCATTTAATGTAAGAAGTTAACAAGTGCCTTGCAGGAAAGGAGGGGAATGCTCCAGTCATGGAGACTTTTCTTTTTTTTTTTCTTTTAAGGAAACGATCTTTATTTATGCCAGGGAAGTTTAATTACATAAAATTGATTCTCCTGCAATCTTCTTCAGCTGACATTATGAGAACACTAGTGCTTGTTAACCAGATTATATTCTCCATTCTCAAGAGTACAGCAGAGTGGCAGATCTGCAGAACACAATATTTCTCTGCTTTGCTGTCAAAGGGCACAGACCCCTCAAGGGCAGTTATAGTGCTTCACTTGCTAAAACTCCAACCACTTAAAAAAACCACATCGGTGCTGTTGACATCAATGCTGAAATTCCATTATTGTCATGTACATAGACATTGTGAACTGAAATAACCATGTTTCTCTGTTCTGTTCAGAAATTAGTTATTGGAGGCATTAGATCTTACAGCCATGCTCAACAAGCAATTCAAGCAGCTAAAGGCCAGAAACATCAAGCCAGTACGGACAAGAAAATAAGTCAAGGCAGCATTGTTTCTGTGCATCCTCCTTCACACCCCCCCGCTTATCTTTCAAGATTCAGTAAATCAAAATGAGACAACTGCAGCTTTTTCTTCTTCAAATTGTCAGAATGTATTTAGAAGATTTCTGATAGTTCTAAAAATACCACGAAAAGGGAAGTGTGACTCATGATGCCCTGTTGAACTCTGCCTAAACTGGTTGGAGAATCATCTACAGACTAACAAGTGACAGGAAAAGGGCTGGCCTTAGCCTGGGTGTAAAGCAGGGAAAAAAAAAAAATCACATTTTCGTAAGGTGAAGGTGGCAACAGCTGTACACCTCCCAGCAGTTACAAATAGTATTAAAAGTGACAAACAGAAAAGCAGCAACACAGAAAAACCTGTACAGGATCTGTCATTGCTGCTGATTCTATTTCTCTGGAGGCTGCACAGAGCAATATTAATTCACACTTGAAATAAAAATTTTGTCTTCACCAGATGTATCTGGAGAAATATGTTTAAATAAAACTATAGTCTTTTATCTATGCAAAACCTGTACCTAAATTTAGAAAAGTCTATCGATAGACTCTAGCTGCATCTGCACAACGTTTTGCAGACAAATCTGTGCTCCCTCTATGTTTAACTGATTGCCCAGCACTGGCTGCAGTCTCAGGAAGCTGTGCTTAACCTTATGAAATGTTGCTGAGAGCAGACTGCTGCCCAACAGAGCTACAGGGCTTTTGATTCAGAGGTGGCCCATGTCCAGCCAGGTGGGTCATGTCCTGCTCTGCATAATCTGTTTGCCAAAGTCTGACAGTTTACGATGCCCTGCAAAAAACTGCACCCCCTGCAGGGCCCTGCAGATTATTGGTTCTTCATAATAGTCTCACGAAATGGCTGTATCCTCTGAAAAATTCCAGGGAAAAATATGTGTTCTTAACTGAGCAAATAAGAGATCTCTAAAAGGACTCATTTGGATTAGTTATTCATTACCCTCATGCATCACGCCCACGCTCTATGGTGAGAACCATAGTGAGAAGATGAAGGAGAAGCTTCAAAAGTGAGCAGTGCGTGGTGAGGTATCCCACCTTCAGGAGAAACGAGTTGCTGAGTAAGTGGACTGACACAACACTGAAGTAGCAGTTGCAGAGCATTACATGCAGGGAGTCCTGAATGCAGGAGGAACTTTTTTTCTCCTGTTTTGCTTCAGGAGGTAAATTATTCTCCATTCAGGCACTGCTGTTGCCCATTGTGTTGTATGGAAGGAGACTAGAACCGCATTCTTATTCTGCTATAGAGATGTGTATTAGCTAGAAGCATATGGGACTGGAGAACTGCTTACTCTAAGGTGTGTGTGGCCAGAAACTCTTCAGTGGTTCTACAACCTGAGAGCAGCTTGCAGGATAGCCATCCTACACGGGAGTGTCCTCAATGCAGGAATACACAGGAATACTCCTTGTTGGTACAACAAAGCCCACACTGAGTTACAGG